CACTTTCGCTACGTGACAAATAAGATCATGTTTACTTTGCAAGTTTATTTCACCAGAAGTGACGGTCATTAATTTATTTGCAATTTTGTGAGTATTTCTGGTGGTTTTAGGCAAATGGAATAAATTCTTTGGCTGTTTCATTGCAGCAAGTTCATAGATCGGAAGGAAAATTAAATATTTGCAAGCCAAGCAAAGAACGTGTCAGAATGTGCAAGGATTATGTTATTGGTAGGGAAATAACCACCGTACTAAAGATAGCTGTGAATAACATAATTCTTAAATTATGTGACTTGTGTGACTACTTTGCTAGCCCTTTACTCATTGAAAAACCAATTAAATTTAATCATGACTTTTAATGGTGTTATTATTGTAGCCTTCGTATTGTTCATGCCCATAGATATCCCGAAGAAAGTTCCAGATTAAGAACAGTACGTCATCTGAGTTTTCACAATGGCTACGAGTACGACTGATGGTGCAATAATACAGTTTGTGTTGATCAAGTGACGTGGTGTCTACAGTAATCAATGAATCATCAAGGACTGCTTTGGAATGTGCACTGCAATGTTACTGTAGTGCTAAGAAAACAGTTAAATTTTAAAGGTGCAGTTATAAGATCTAAAAGATCTTCTTGTATATACATGAAGGATGAGGTTGACATTTCCATGAAACAAAATAATGTTAACTGTCATATCTCTGGAATGTACACATCACATGTACATGTAGCAGTAGGTGTTACAGTCCTCCAGAACATGTACAATTTACATGTACTGAGTGCTGTTCATGTGTTCCAAGTGGTTAAAAATGTTCTGAGCTTTACATGGTACCATATACAAGTTATACTGGGAGACTTCCATGTTGGCAATGGGATTTCCATACCTGGGCTAGCATCTGTTGATATGCTGTACGTAACTTCTCCATGTCTTGTTCATGAAAGTCTTCCTCTTCCTTGACCTGTGGTATTTCAAAATTTACATTCAAATCTCAAACTAGCAATGAAACATTTATAGTAAATAATTACAGTCCTGTTGACTGTGCTACATGCATCTCAATTAAATGTCTCATGAAGGAAATAAAAATGTCCCGGTCTGGTTTCACCTCTTAAGATTTTGAATCTGAATCTGAAACCTTCAATGATTTAGTACAGAATACTCTCTGTCAAAACAGTTCCTGTTGTATAAAAAGCAATAATTTTAACAGAACATACCATTCTTGATAGATTGGTGATCTGGTTGTCTAGTCCCTCCAGGTAATTTTCCTTTTCTGCTAGTTTCTTTTCTAAATGCATTTGCTCCCTTCAAAGTAAAACAAAATTTTTCTTTTAGTCCAAAGTCAATGTTGTACATGTATGAATACAATGTACCATGTCCTAACTTAGTAGGTGAAGATGTGAACTGGGTGATTTGGTGAACAAAAATTGTTGTTATCATGATAAGACAAGGTGACTCTGACAGTCCATACATGTATGGCAGGACATAATATTATTTAAAAACTTAGGGATGACTGAGAAAAGAAAGACAGGCATTTCTTTTATGAAGCTCTGTAAATATGTATAAAACCTTGGACAGGGAAGAAATATAATTTTGGCATGGAAAATGTACCGTCCAATAACAGTGTACAATAGCCATTCTCAAATTTGTGTAGTTACTGACAATAAAATCATTGTGGATATAATTTCAAGAAGAAACTACATTAAATTTGTACAAAATTTTTCAACTACCAAGGATGCCTCACGTGTATGTGGGATTGAAATACAAGGGTAACTGAGCGATATTATTTACCGTTTTAATTGATCTGTTGCATCATGGGTGGCAGCAACCCTCTTGTCATATTGCCGCATAAGGCGGGAAAGTTTCTCTTGTTTGGAGGCTTGCTGGCGGCGGAGTTGCTGAAATATTAAAATTCCAAGTTTAATCAATCAAATCAATCAAAAACTTTACTGATGTGTCAAAATTTAGGTAGCCAACAGGAAACACCCCTCTACTAATTGGGGAGGCTTGATGTTTTCTATTTTGTTATTGAAGTGTGCACATGAAGTAACAATCTGAACATGCAGTTACCTCGCAGGTAAGCTAATGGTACAGGTTTAAAAGTTATGATGGTACAGGTTTAAAAGTTATAAGATTACAATCACTGACCACATACAGTGTAGTTGTGACACTGCCTGAATCCCCCCCCCCCCCCNCAAGCTCCATTTTAGTTCCTTAAATCTTATTTCTAAATTTTATCAACCAACGACGAGCTTAAAATCAATGACGACAGGTCGTTTTACTGAATCTCGCAATCTTATGCAGTCACCTTTTTTTATCGCTGGCCACCCCCCCCCCCCCCCCCCCCCCCACATGAAAGTTGTGACCCCTCAAAGAAGTATTTAATATGGAAAAAGGCTGCTGCATTGTATAATTTATATAATCATGTAAATCTGAAAGTAACAAAGGTTGTTACATTGTACAAAATTAATGTAGATTTACAATTATACAGTACTGTACGTGGTTCAAGTAAATACAACTTCATTCACTTGAAAATTACAATTCATTTTATTGCAAGATCTGAAGACGTGGAACCAATTTTTACCAGCTGACTAGAATGGGCATCAAAGAATGCGTACCACTACATGTAGTTAGCAGAAATTCTGCACTATGTGATTTTTAATGGTTGAGTTGCTAGGAAAGGAGCCCCCGATCCTCTCCTCTCTTCTTGGGACAAAATGTAGACTGGACTCAAGAGAGCTGGGGAATCAAGCCTAGAATTTTCAGTGGATATAAATTGGATTCATACCTCTATTTTGGCAGTCATGTCTCGCAGCACCTCTTTTTGGCTGACATTTTTATCTTGCAATTCTTCAAGCTTGGCTGTTTCCTCCCTGCAAGAACAAATAAAAAAATATTGAACCTGTAACATCCAATACAATAAGATTGCAAACTACTCATAAATTATGTGCATAATAATGCGAATGAAGAACTGCATCTATCATTGGTTATGGCAGGTGTTTGTGTGGTTTACATGTGTAAAGCATCTGACCACATGTAGGTAGAGGTTGGCATTTGCAGGTTTAATTTTAAGGTAAAACATTTCATTCTCCATTTTCTCCTTTCTTAATATGTAGAGTGATGTAGTATTGATTCATTCAAAAAAATTCTGTCTACAGTCTGTTAAATTTAGTAGGAAGGAAGAGTAGGAACCAAAAGCCTCTTTGGAACAGTTCACATAGTTACAAGTACATTTTATTTTTTTATTTTTATTATTAGTTTTTTGAGCATTCCAAGATTATTCAGTTTTTAATAAACAAATTAAATAGTCAGATCAACAGACATGTACATAACAATAACTTAAATAACAGGTCCATTACCGCAGTTTATCCATGTCAAGCCCTATTCCTGTGATCATTTTCAAGGCTGTCTGGCCATCCTGCAAGAAATTCACCAGAAAATAAAACTTTAGTTAACAAGTTTGAAAATCGCCAGCTACTTTGTTGAGCTTTTTGTCTTATTCTGATTCATTGGTTAAATCAACCTTTGATCTAACCTGATAAATCCACCTACATGTACTTCAAAAACTTCACAACATCCCCTTGATTATATGATTGTACATAATACTCATACAGCCATGTATATTAATTATGGGAAGACGGTAATAGAAGAGACTGGAGCGGACAAAGAGTTGAGTGCATGTTCTATGCAAAAAGAGTACTGAAGGACTTCTCCCTGAAGCCATGTGTATTTGAAAGTTTTAACACACCTCAGTATACTGTAGGCTGCTATCTTGCTGAGCACAAATTTCTTGTAGCCTGGCATTTCTTTCGTCCCTTGCTTCTCTAACAGACTGCACTGCGCTTGTCAGACGAGCCAATTCCTTCCAAAATACAGGTGTAGGAACAATTAGATTACAGTCAAAACAAAAAAAAAATCACAGCTGTTAACTTAAAAATGGAACTTTGTTTTATATAATTCGTTTAGTCAAAACATTTTTATTAGTGGTACGGGGTAAAAGCTAGTGTTGTGGTTCATGAAGATTGCAGATCATTTTTCCAAGGACTATTCTGACAATAATAATAATAATAATAATAATAATAATAATAATAATAATAATTATTAATAATAATGATAATAATAAATAATTTATTGGGCTCACTAAAATTCTTCACTTAAACTTTAAGTGATAATCATTCACAGCACAAAACAATTTACAAGAACAATTGTATTAAGATCGTTATAAAAGGAATAATAATACCGGTAATAATAATAATAATAATAATAATAATAATAATAATACCGGTAATAATAATAATAATAATAATAATACTAATAATAATAATAACAATAATAATAATAATAATAATAAATAACGCTGTTTTACGATGGTAACATTGGTTACTGATGACTGAAATGGTTTACATATGGCCCTCCCTAAGCTAATCTAAAACCAGAGTGTAAACCTAAAATAATTACTATTATTAAATTCTCAGCCTCGGATAATGCAATTCCAGCTTTCTGATTGGTTCACTGGATCTCGGTTACCAGCCATTATACCTGCGTTTGACCTTATATGGAAATGAAAGCGGCAAATGTCGCTCGGCATGAGCTTTTTCGCTTGAAGCGAAGTTTCGACGACAAAAAAAATGGATGAAAAAAGCACATTTGGTGAGCTATCTACACAGGAAATACAGGGAATTATGGACAATGCCGTCCCAGTAACAACAAAAAAGCCACAAAGCTCGAGATAAG